GCGGAAAACCTAACGGGTTACCGGGGCTCCGGCTAGACGTGCAGGAGAAGGAACGGGGTGGTTTTTAGTCAGTAAGAGTCTGACACTCCCTCCCGCGTCACCCAGGCGGGAGCAGTCATTCGATGATTTTCCCCCCTTAAAAATAGTTATAGACGTGATGTGATTTCTTGGCTTGGTCTTTGTAGGAGGACTGAAGATGGCAGATATTCGTTTATCAGAGAATTGTAGCCTGGTTTTATATAGAATGTAAATATTGTTTTGAATATATCAACACCACACGGCCTGCTACGGATTATTATACGTTAACTCGAAACTTGAATTTAAAAAAAAATACAATACAAACTTAACAGGATAATACAGACAAACCATTGCGCATTGGCAAAACCCATTAGCAAATCAAGATTGACCTAAGTTGAGAAGCTCAATTTACTAAACCATGTACCTACTAGTCTTGTGGTGTGTATGTGGAAACCACAATCTTTGCAATTCCACAGATAAAAAACCACAAAGAATATGGATGCCATTTTGTAAGACATTAAAAATAAAACTGACATCGAGACACCAAACTGTCAGGTTGGTACAAATTGCTGATAAAAACATTAGATACCAATTAGGGTTCCCACGTAGATCATAGTGAGGCGGTTAATTAGGGCTGCTGTCATCATCGTGTTTTAATTAAGCGTTGCAATATAATCGATACTGTTTAAGTTTTTAATGTGATCACGCAATGAAGGCATGCGAACCTTTGTAGACCGGAGAGTAAAATCACGGGTTACTCACGTGAATATACTGAGAAAAGCTCTACTAGTTTCGAACCACAGAGGGGTTCTTCCTCATGAGCAGCGTGCGGGGTCGCGGCGACGTCGCGCAGCTCACTTTTCTCAGTATATTCACGTGAGTAACCCGCAATTTTACTTAATTTAGTATGTCTCACGATAGTTATTATAAAAACAATACAGAGGAGAGCAGTATTTGTTGTTTTTTTATTAATGTTGTTAAAATTTAGAATTAGTCATCGTTATCACCAATCGAAAGATTACCACTGTTGAACAAAAGCCTCCTCCTCACTCTAATGGCTCCACCACGTCGACTCTAAACCACGTCTTCAGTTCACCTAGCCGGAGTCCTGCCTACCTATGCTAGGTTTTCCAGTCGTTTGTTGCCAAACCAGTACATTCCTGACCCATCAGAAACAAATACACAGAAAATAGAGACTTGTTATTGTCAATTACTTTGATCAAAAAACTTCGCACTGCGACTTAAATTTATTTGTTAGATTTGGAAAATTAACCCGATTTCACTGACTCCATTTCACTAGCAGTCTCATAATAAGTAAGGCAGCCAATTATAAAGTCGTTCATATGTATGACACGAGTCTTTAATTCTTCACACGAGCACACCAACTTCGAAAAAACTATTTTTGAAATTAAAATAGCATTAACCTTGCAGCCAGAGCTTTTTGCTTCACTCAAAGAATATTAACATTTTTGTCTAATTACAAACATGCAAATTATGTACAAAATAATAAGTTTCGTGATCAACGATAATAAATTACAAAGTCGTAGATAAAATTGACTGCCTCGTTGGCCGAGTGGTCGCAATTGCGACTGCCGGGTAAGGGGTCTCGGGTTCGATTCTCGGGTCGGGCAAAGTATTATTGGGTTTTAAAAAAAATCTCAGTAGTAGCACGGAGTCTCGTACTGTGCCCGGTATATGGCAATAGGGTCAACCCTCTATTACATGGGACTTATAACATAAATAGTGTATCGAACTGGCTTTTTGAGGAAACTCAAGTCCTCACCCCTGTTCTCGTACACGATGACTTCATGATGTTCTGAAGCCCTGACGCATCCTATAAGGTCTGCCGTTCTCCCCTTCTCATAAGCTACCACGGCAGCGTCCACACTAATTATTCTGGGACTCATACCCTCGACCTCTCCCCGCCCACCCATGTCCGACAGCACACCGCAAGCTTGTTCAAAACAAGTCATTGAGTCGACGCTGGAGAACATTGCAATTGTTTTATTGCGTGTTCGCAGTAGAGCTAAGGGTGGATTCTCCAAGCGGCTCAGAGCGTCTACAACAAAGATATAGGCAACAAAGCGCTCTGCAACAACACCAACAAAACACCGAGAGGGAAAATAAAAAATTAGAATCACGAGGTAGAGTGTGGGCAATAACAGCGGCCATATGCTCAGTAACCGGACTGATTTCGTCACCCTTCAGAAAAAATGTGGTTAAATCTGCTCAAGGATCAGGAGGTGCACAAATACAGTCTCCTCCCCCCAGGTCATCACCAACAAGAGCAGCTATGGGTCACGTTTGTCCGCCGAGGCTTCGACAAGCGTCCACTACCAGAGACCATGTCGTAAATGCTTTTCTCGAGTTTACCGCAGTGGTGGAGGCAACCAGGCAAGTCAACATGCGGAAATGCGAATCCATTCTGCAGACTTACCTGCAAGGAAACGAGCTAATACTGAACGATAGACTCGAAGCAGCAGAAGCAGTCATATACGACAACAACACCTCGAGGGTACTGAGAGGAACCTCTATAACTCGAAGTATGGCTGCTTATAACGCAACTGCCGGATTTGTGTCTCTGGACGAGAGGGAATCCGATCGATGCGGAGTGTTAAAGTTTAAAACTCCTCCAGGGGATTCCCTAGTAGTGGTTGCCAAATGCACCAGAATTATGCTGGACGATAGAATATTAGAGATGGCAAGATCCATTTCTGATTCTGGATCAGACGGCGAAGTTTTTGGAGACTGGCATACTCCGACGTTTCGCTGGACAAATGGCGTCCCTGGTTGCGGAAAAACGACATGGATAGTTGATCAATTTGAAGCGGGCCAAGATCTAATGTCACCACGACAACCGAAGCAGCAAATGACCTCAGAGGCAAACTATCCTGCCGAATCGGAGGACTCGTCAAATCTAGGGTTCGAACAATGGCGTCCATCCTAGTAAACGGCTTGGGGGAGCGAGAGAGCTGCCATCGCCTAATGGTAGATGAGGCTCTCATGAACCACTTTGGAGCCGTTGTGATGGCCGCCCGAATAACTCGAGCCAAGGAAGTCCTTCTAATTGGTGACATAAATCAGCTTCCGTTTATAGATCGTGATAACCTCTTCCCTCTACTCTACAGCCGCCCTACATATATCACGCCCATAAGCCAGGAATTGATGTGTACCCACAGAAATCCAATGGATGTGGCGTATGCCCTCAGCACAGTTTACAGTGGCATATATTCGTCCAGGTCGGTCGTTGTGAGATCCCTCGAGATAAAAAGGTTCTCGGGGGCGATGATTCCAAAGTCACTCCCCGACACTTTATACCTGGTACACACTCAGGCAGAGAAGGAATCCCTTAAGAACCAGGGATACGGGTCGACCGTGGGATCACGCGTGCTCACGATACATGAGGCACAGGGACTTTCGTGTGCGAATGTGATTGTTGTCAACACAGCAACAAAGAAACATCAAATACATGACAGCGTACCACACGCGGTAGTAGCAATATCGCGTCACACGCATGGTTGCATCTATTACACAGACAACAGTGAAGACGCGATAAGCAAACTAATCAGGAAGGCGGCTGATGAGGGTGAGCAGGGTATTAAGGACTACAACCTGAAAATGGCCATCAAACACAGGGACGCGGCAGTCATGGGTGCTCTCTTGGGCGGGGAGTGTTGCTTGTGATGGAACGAATGCAACATGAGGAAATGTGTGTGCAGAAACATGTAGAAATAGAATATGAGCAATTGACTTTGGACTATTGTACGCTTTATTGGAATCGGCCCATGTGGCAAGGGTTGAGGCGTCATGCACACATAAATGTCCTACAGTCGGTGGCGCTGTGTGTTGGGTTGTTCCGTTCCCAATAAAAAGGTTGACCGGACCAATTGCTGACACACACGTCATACTCGTGAACGGGTGCCTTCTGCTGGGTCAGGTCGGCTCTCCCATCTTGTTGGTGGGCTGGTTTCATAAAGCCTTTGAAATAGAAATAAATAAATAGTGCCTAATTATTATGTAACCTATACTTTTGCTAATAATTATAGATGTAGTTAATTGTAGTATGTAACTAGGTTCCCTCTTTACTTTATAAAAATTGACTAGATGTATTATAATTAAAAAACTGCATGACAAGGGCACGGACCTAGAGTCCGTGGAGAAATAATCTTTAATATTAAAAAAAAAAAAAAACATAAATAGTGAAAAGTGGGTATTACATTGTACAGTGGTATAATGTACACCTCTGCCTACCCCTTCGAGGATAAAAGGCGTGATGTTATGTTCGTAGATAAAATTATAAGTTTAGTTAAGGTTAGAAACAAAGGGATTGCGAAACAATTATAGTATTAACATTGTTAGGTTTGTTTTATCATGATTCTGATATTGTTTGCAAGAGATTTTATCTAAGTCATTGTTTTATAGCCCTTCTTATTCTTACCGTCCTTTCATAGTTTTTCTTTATCTGAGATACAGGAGTAGTATGTGAGGTCTTTAGTTACATTCGTCACCCAAAGACCATGCGACCTTCGAGTTTTTTTCGATGTTTATTCACAGGCTAAAAATTTAACAGATGTGAAAAGAAGAAATTAAAAATTTATTTTTACAAAAACCCGTATCGTATAATTGCGATACAAAGCCAAATTTCCAATGATACAAAGCCTCTTCTCACACGGAGAAGGTTTGAGCATTAATAACGACGCTTGCTCAATGCCGGTTGGCGATTACAGACTTATAATTAGAAATTATAAGCCCAGGTTTCCTCACGATGTTTTCCTTCACCGTTTGTAAGTGGTGTCTAGATAATCTTAGAAAGTACATGTAGCTCGGAAAAAGTCACATTGGTACTTGCCGTGGGTAGGTTTCGAACCCGCACCCTTATGCATGAGAAGCGGGCCTCTTAAACCTCCGGGCCACCACGACACTATAACTTTCGAATGATAACTAATATATTTTTTTACTAACTAAGTACCTCTTTATTTCAGAAAGGACACCCATGTGCAGAAACCCAAGAGCTGAGTCCAGGACGATGGGGCGGGCGGACTATAGCGGAGTGCAAGTGTCCTCCCGGCACCGCCCAGCTCCCTCACACCAACACTTGCCACAAACTCTTCGAGAAGGGTCCCTGCAGGCCAGGGGAGTACTTCGCGCCCGTCGAGGAGTCATTCAACAAAAGAGGGTAGGTAAGCATCTGGACGGCTCATCATGTAAGCTGAAAAGTTAGCCTTTCTTTGATAAATCGTATTTTAGACGGAATTAACTTTTTAGACTGTTGGAAGAATGGGGTAGATGACTAATTTTTATTTTAATGTCCGTCTGGTAGATTCTTTAAAAACATTAGACACGTATTTTTCATTTTCTTACAGAAACGAATACTTTCGACGATATATTGATTTGAAATATCGCGTGACGTCACTTCTATGTACATTTTATACGTAGAAATGACGATTTAGCCCACACTCCTAAACATTGATTCGTTATGTATAAGTATCAAAATAAAAAAATACGTGGCTGACATTTTATCATTACCTAACTTACGGACTAATAGAATTTTTAATTTTCATCATCATTTTCACCGTCATTATCCTTATTGAAAAGCATATTCTTGTGTGGTCATCTAGGCAAAGAAATGATAATCTTCTCGACAATTTGATACTGTAGGTAGACTATAGACCTGTGTCACTTCCCGCTGCTTTTTTTTTAACAAGTAAGGGGATATATTTATTGGGAAAAATAATATCTATGTTATTGTAAAACTGTACGATCTCTAACTATTTACTCTCCCATAAAAGTAAACCACTTATAAGCTAGTTTAAAGATATCTGGTACTAAAAATTATGCAATACGATACTTTAACGGTTCAAGTTTTACCGTACCTTCAGGCTTTAACGTTACATTATCGTGGCAGGCCTAGTTAAATTAACCTTAGACTAACGTAACGTATTTAGTTAGTGAAAGTGGTTCAACACTGTCCAGATTGTTTAAACAACTCTAATGGTGTCCAGATGCACATGGCTGCACAAGCTATGCAAATCCAGTATAAAGTGACCGTGGAATGTAAGAAAAGATCATCAGAGCTAGACCATGATATACTGGTTTTGTATAGCTCGATGTGTAGTCGTGTACATTGTTAAGAAAGTTTAAAGTAATTGCTACTGGTTTGAAGACACTGTTCTTTTTTTTAATACTTTTGACCTGTAATTAACATAACATCACGCCTTTTTATTCCCGACATTATGGCTCTTAATGTCACTGTACAATGTAACACTCACTTTTCACTATTTTTTTATGGGATAAGCCGGTAAACGAGCAGACGGATCACCTGATGGTAAGCAATCGGCGTTGCCCATGGACACTTGGAACACCAGAGGCGTTACAAGTGCGTTACTGGCCTTTTGGGATTAGGAATTTGAGGATTGTTGGGGATTCAGGGATTGGGGAAAGGGGGGAGGGGTAATTGGGCCTCCGGTAACCTCACTTACACGACGAAACACAACACAACGTTGTTTCACGTCGGTCTTCTGTGAGGCCGTGGTATCACTCCGGTCGAGCCGGCCCATTCATGCCGAAGCATGACTCTCCCACACTTACCTAGAACTTATTTATGTTATGAGTCCCATGTAATAGGGGGTGAGCCTATTGTACCTGCATTTATATCCACTAAAGCTAATTTTAGGTCAGGTAAAAATAAATGCCACAGGTTATTTAGATTATATTGTTTTGTTTTCAAAAACATGTTTGCCAACAACTGGTTCCTTGTTATATTTACCTGCATTTGAGGTCAACCACCTGGTTTGGTTGATTTTGTTAGTAGCTTGTATGTATCTATTTTCATTTAAGTTATTGGGTTTATTTGACATAAATGACTGGCCTTCATAAACGTAGTATTCTAAGTCAAAGTCAAAGAATTTATTTCAATTAAACCATAGGTTGGTACTTTTGAAACGTCAACAAATACAAAATAAATAATAGTTTGTCAGTCAGTCCGTCAGTGAAACTAAGTGAAGCTAGGTGCTCATTCCAAAATAAAGATTCGAATGGAGAAGAATGAGCAAGAAACTCCATTCGTTACTGTTTTTAAAAAAGTATGTTCTACAATGTCTCTGATATATATTTCAATACTGTACGCATATTTAAGAACAATGCAAAGACACGCTTGACGCATTATATTCATAAACTAAAAATTTATAAATATTTTATTTCTGATTCTTAAAATCTTCATCTTTATTGCCTCAAGCATTCTTTAATTTCAATCTCAACGATGTTTTCGGAAATCATAAAATGAAAGCTATTATTTCCAAGAAGTATTGCATTTAATATGACATAATTCAGCACAACGGTTATACATTGATATTCAAATGAAGTAATAATATAATATTCTAAGAATACCTACTATCTCTTTAGCATGCGGTTTATGATATTGCAGCATCTCCATTATAGTCTGGCTTAGCTACTAAAGATTCTATGTTATGACCTGACTCTGTTCTGATTAGTTACATAGGAAATTATGTTTCGAAATTAGTTTTTGAGAAGTCTTCATTATCTATTTTAACGGTCATGGGTCAAGGGGTATTTATGTATTCTTTTTAAGCCTCTTTTTTTTGATGTCGGTGGGAAACCTTCAAAAGGCTCCTAGCTTTTTGGGGAGAAAGACTAGGGAGTGTGGGATCCGTACCGCACTAAAACCACCCCGGTGGCACCCCTCAGCACCTGTAAAGGGCACCGGGTCCTCTGAAGAGACCTGCTCCGGATTCTTTTTAAGCCTAACTTACATTGGTTGTTAGTATTTATAATTTGTGTTTCTAGGAATGTTGTGTTCTGATAGTGTTAAAATTCTTCATCTGTTGCTAAAGGGCATATATATATATATACCAAAAGAAATCAATTTGAAAATAGTTCAAATGTAATTAAAAAAAAATTTAAAAAATTGCACCACATTTAAAAAATTCGCACCAAATGACTAACAAGAACAACTTTACCTAACAAATATCTATTACATTACAACTATTGCAAAACTGAGAATCCCCAATGCGTCTACGCAGCTCTACTGAGAATACGCCATTATGAATTCCAGTGAACGCCAAGGTATGTGCGTGAGACCTCAACAGTGCGCTGATGAGACCTTGGTCTACTGGCCTGCTGACGGCAAATGCTACTACCGGAGTACCCAAGGTCCTTGCTACCCTGGGTCAGTATTGGAAGCGGGAGAAGATGGCATTGCTAATTGTTCAGTAAGTATTTTAATCAAACACTTAGTTGCTTTTGTTTTAGTATGAGGTTTTTTTTAACGGGGGAAAATCATCGAATGACTTCTCCCGTATGGGTGAGGCGGGAGGCAGTGTCAGACTCTTACTGACTAAAAACCACCCCGTTCCTTCTCCTGCACGTCGAGCCGGAGCCCCGGTTACCCGTTAGGTTCTCCGCGACTTAGTATGAGGATAGGGATCTGTGAAACCCTTGTTGCATGGTTGTTATTTGAGTTTAATAGTGACAACACATAATGGCAAAGGTTTGTTAGAGCCTTGGGAATGATTGCGACGAGACATCCTTAAAAAAATATTAAAAATAACATAGAACACATTTACAATTACAGATCGCTCAGATTTTATAGTAAGAAAAAGTCTTAATAATAACACTCGTAATAGTTTACTTAAATCTAGTCTTATATATGCGAGAAAATAACGTTCTAAGTATATATAGGTCCTATCTGAACTAGGTTTTTTTAATGGTTGTGTTCTAAATGATAATTATGATGAATCATCATATCATATTTTGTTTTACTTTGGAACCTTATGATTTGGTCTAAATTATTTTAATCTGCGTGCCCGATATTCGGGAACCGTTATAAAAATTATAAACATATAATTTCACATAATCATGTCACCCAGATCCGAAACGACAATTTACTCATCACACAAAGTGTTGTTCCGTGCGGGAATCGTATCTGCTACACGTTCCTCGGCAGACAGTTGCCCAACCACCGCATTAAACATGCAATCAATTACCAATAATACAGGATTTCTAAGTAACGAGATAAAAATAATTGCAGTGCGAAATCTCCGGTCCTCACTACTGGCCTGCTGATGGTAGCTGCTACCCCCATTATACAAGAGGTCCCTGTGAGAAGGGACAGCTATTCCTGCCGGGACCTAAGTGTGGCTGTGAGAGCCATCTACCTCATTATCATAATGAAACTGGAGCTTGTTATGAATTAGGTAAGACGAAATTTTGGTTATGTATTTTTTTGGATGTGGAAAGGAAATATCTGAGGTAGTAAGTTAGTACAGTTGGGTCAGATCCAAGTCTTCTTTCTTTCTTTTTCTTCAAAAAAACGTTTCCCCACACTAGGATTTTCTCCTGTGCCGTGGGTGCGTTTACAAACAAACAAGTTCACATACACATGACACCCGGACCCGAAACAACAATTAGTGGATCACACTAAGTGTTGTTCCGTGCGGGAATCGAACCCGTGGCACGCTGCACGGCAGCTGGTTGGCCAGCCACCGTATCAACCGTGCGGTCAATTTTGCGAATTTAAAAAACAAATTTTTGAATTAGTCGACAATACATACCTCCCACTTCTCATGCATGAGGGTGCGGGTTCGAAACCTACCAACGGCAAGTACCAATGTGACTTTTTCCGAGTTATATGTACTTTGTAAGATTAGAGGTAGGTTTCATTAGAGTCATTCCGCTGGAGTGGCATCCATGAGCGGTTCTGATCGCTTACCATCAAGTGATCCGTCTGTTTGTTTATCTCTAGCTATTTCATTGAAAAGAGAAAAAGGCGGGGTGATTTAATGTAGTAGCCCTCCATCCACGATAACACGTGAACATTATGCGGTGCCAAAATTAGGTGGTTTGATTTTGATAGTGCTAGTAAAAGTATACCAAAAAGATAAATGATTGCTGAATGAAAAGTAACAAGTAATTAGAAGAACAAGTAATTCTAATGAAACACTTCTTACGGTCCAAATAGCAGATCGGACAGTATTTGGATACAAATATCGCTGTAGGTGCAAAAAATTGTGTAATCTAAATAAACTAATTGAGTGATTGAGGCATGCGATGTTTACAATGTCGATTATTATTTTTCTTTCTTTCTCTTTCTTTCTTTCTATAAATGTATTCGTATTGACTAACTCTTCTTTTCAACGGTGGTGTATGATTCGATAGAATTCTAATGACGTATATTTTAACATTGACCTTCTTTTCCTACTAGTATCTGGCCATCTGTTTGTCAAAATCTGTTATTCTATACGTGTTTAACTATTAGTCCTACTACTTTTACTACTAGATTCTTATGCCCTAAATGTTAAAAAACCCCTAAGCTAAAATAGGGGGACATTTGCATTTAAATGCCCCCTATTTTAGCGGTGTAGTATGTATTTTAGATGTAGTAGTACTAGTAATAGTAGAAGTAGTAGTAGTAGATTATTATTTTAGATGATTATATTAGAACACAAAAGAAACACAAAATTTGCAAAAAAGGGGTTGATTTTCACCATCCTACAAGTAATACCTAACAGTACAAATAAAGACTTGGTTTAGGGGTGCTTGGAAAAAACAGTCATTAGAAACGTAGTTGAATTCTTAAATCTTTAAATCCATCTTTGTATCTTGATCACGCCAATACAAGTTCAGTTTATCAGTAAATTACGTGTTCTTATTTATTTGATCATCTTTTAATATATGCACGTTCTTCCCAAATTTCAGATTCTCTGGGCCCATGTCCAAGAGGTCACACGTTCTCCATAGCCGAGGTCGCTCCTCACGGCTCCCGAGCTGAATGTAGATGCAAGAGCTTCCATGCTCGTGCTTCTGATGGAGTGTGTTATCGACTGTACACCAGAGGACCTTGCGCCCAAGATGAGATGATTGCTAGAGGCGGACGATGTACTAAGGTGAGGTCTAGAATTTGGTTTGCATGTAGACGACATCGCCCTAGTTGCGGGAAGCCAGTGGATGCAGGTGGCGAGTTGTCATTAGACGTGCAAAGCACGTCTTTTGGCTGTTGATGATGATGATGTAGATGGAATCGCTTTCAATTCGTTTTCGATTTCCTTTAGAGCTGTGGTAGGAGTTTTGGGATACCATTTGCAGAAAACCTCCAATTTTTGTCCAATGATCATGCAACACAATAGAATTTTTGTTTCGTTCCTTCAGATTCAGATGCTAAAAATGACCAATTCCTTTCGCCTTATTTCAGGTGCCTTGCGCTAGAGGTCGTCTGTATGTACCAGAACGTCGTCGCTGTTATCGACCTGGTACTCCTGAACCATGCCCAGCTGGTGAAGTCGTGGCTTTCGACTTTGAAGCTCGACCAGCGATAGACGGACTAAGCCATAATGGGGTGTGTGCATGTGGAAATGGGGCTTGCAGTCGGCGCGAGGTGCGTTTAGACGTTAGTTCGTTTTTGGACTACCTTTTATTTCTTAACTAGCTTTTACCCGTGGCTTCGCTCGCATCACAAAAGTATAAAAAGTAGCCTATGTGATATATACCAATACACACAGCGCCATCTATACCAATACTTTTGTTTTTCCTCGGGAATATCAAATTTTTTCGGGATAAAAAGTACCCTATTATTTAATCCAGACTACTAACTTTACGTCTGCAAAAATTCAATGCAATCGGTTTAGTAGTTACGGCGTGAAGTCGGAACAAACAAACAAACTCACTTTCCGATTTATAATATTAGTAAGGATATTAGTAAGGATAACAATACTAAACTATAACATTACTCGAAATATTATGTTTGATAGAAACTTGCAAAGTTTTTAAAAAAGTCATAAAGTTATGGCAAAAATACCATACTACCGGTGAGATTTTAACCGACGCCACCAGGAAAACAACATAGATTAGCAAATCCATTCTATAATTTGTCCACTACCTTATATTGTTATACTCATTGGCTTGCACTACAGAAGAAAATGTCTCCTATATTCCAGGTGGAAGCCTGCACCACACGTCGTGGCACAGCCCCCTACAATGGAACCTGTCACATCCTGAACACACAAGGTCCTTGTCCAGAGAACTCCTGGCTCATGCGAGACCATAAAAACAATATCAGGTGTAAGTGCATGCCAGGGAGGATCCCGCCCAACTGTGACGAAGACACCAGAGTGACTGTTAAGAGTTGATATAGTGACAGTGGAGAATACACTCAAGTGTAATTAACAGACAGTTTATTGTTGAATAGCCGGGCTTTACGAAAGATGTTGGACATGTTTGAAGAACAGATAGCATGTGACGTGTCTTTTAGGGTAAAAAGGCCCAGATTAAAATCGTTCTCACCCCATCCCCCAATCAGAAAATATGTTGTCATGGGCGGATAGGGGGATATATAGGGGGTTGCGAAAATTTCGTTATATAACTACGAGTTATATTTTAGCTACAAGATTCGAGGTATTTCATGATTTTTAAGTGAACTAGGACAAGACCAGTCTTATCCTGTCGAATGTAAATTATCGAATGGTCAACAGAAAAGTCGTATTTATTGTAAGTTTCATAGTTTTGTAAGTAATATTGTAAGTTTCAATTTGTACATATATTCATAGATTATAACTTAGTTATGTATAAACTTAAATACGTAAAGGGCTACAATTAAGTAGGTTGAAATGTAAATAAATTAAATAGAAATTATTTAATTTAAAACATGAAATTGTTATTTATGCATTTAAAACTGGCATTCTTTTGTAATCCATTTTATTTTTATAGAAACGAGACGACATTATGTATAAATGGCATGGAATGAAAAAAAAAAATAAAAGAAATCAAATATTTTTTATAAACATTGTCTTTTATTATTATTAACTTATCGTTTACATTTTCTTACATTAAATTTTATAATAACAGTACAAAAATAGTCAAAAGTTATTAGCTAATTGCGTGATGTCTGACTATACCTAACTACAATAAAATAATATTATAATACACAACTATTGCACAGCACTAGTCTCTTCTTGGATCATTTTTCTTTTAGTTTCTTCTGTGATTGTCCTGGAAAACAAAAGAAGGAAATATTAGTTTGGGACGACTTTTACCCACAGTTTGTTTTTTAGAAGAGAGATAAAATTTATTTTATTTTGAACCCTGACATCCATTGACAAACGGTGATGGAAAACATCGCGAGGAAACCTGGGGCTACACATAATTTCTAATTATAAGTTTGAAATCGCGAACCCGCATTTAGCGTGGTGATTAATGCTCAAACCTTCTCCGTGTGAGAAGAGGCTTTGCTCAACAGTGGATATTTAAAGGCTGTTGATGATACTGATGATCTAGCAGTGGAAGTTAACAGGTTGATCATAGCGGTATCAACTATGGTTGTTAAAAACGAAAGAGCAAAATGTAATCTTGTATATATAAAATGAAACCCGTTTCCCGTTGTCACGCCATAACTTGAGAACGGCTAGACCGATTTGGCTGATTTTTTGTTGTGTTTATTATTATTATTATTTTTTTTTTTTTAATTAAAACGTTGCCCCACACTAGGATTATCTCCTGTGTCGTGGGTGCGTTTACAAACATACAAGTTCACATACACATGACACCCAGACCCGAAACAACAATTTGTGGATCACACAAAGTGTTGTTCCGTGCGGGAATCGAACCCGCGACACGTTGCACGGCAGCCGGTTGCCCAGCCACCGCACCAACCGTGCAGTCTTTGTACTGTTATTATTGTCAGGAGAAGGTTCTTATGACAGAAAAAAGTCTTGAAAATCCTACGGGAACGGGAGAAAACGGGATTGCGCGTATGAAGTCGCGGGCAGAAGCTAGTTAAAAATATTATTACATGATGTTTTTGACATTATTGACATTCTGTCGACAGTGATTTCAAATTTTTTGCTACTACCTACATTCAGTTTTATAAATGAAAGATATAATACTAACCGAAATATATCCTGTAGACTTGATTGAAAGGCATCTCGATGGCCACAGTCGTCAATATTGATATCGCTGTCACTGTGAACACTTCTGGAATGTGCACCTGAAATAATACAGAAATTAGTAAATGGAGTTTATTTTTAATAATAAATCAAACTAGCCTTTGCTTCTAAGTCCCAGAAAGAAATATTTAGACCATAATACTTCAAGTTTCATAAAAGTAACTAGCTAGATAAACTTTTTGTAGTTATAAATTCAGAGATCCTTCGCCTCCAACCCAGAATAAGCTGACAGATCACCAGATGGTTACCGATCAGTTTCACCCGTCAACGGTACGGACATTCGTAACACTAGAGGTGTCATAGGTGTGTTGAGGTCGTAATAGAAATAGACTTCGAGGCTGAGTCTACTCCGTATCCTACAGTAGGTAGTTATTATTACAACTACAATAGTCAAATAAAAAAACCTTAGAAAATAAATTATATTAAACTTTGTCCTCCTTTAGATTTAGATACAAACAAGAACTTTGTTGCTATAGAAATAGAGTCAAAAATACTCACCAGTAATAAAGGCGAGTAATACTCCGCATGTCTCTGCACCCCGACGTTGTAGAAGAAGATGGGAAACTGCGTCAGGTACACGCTATACGCAATCTTGTTGAAGAACTTGAACACTCGCGACTCCACGAATGCGGTTCCTATACCTGTGGACATAAGAGCGAGTTTTGAAAGAACATTAAAATAATCCATGTGGTGACTGCTAAGTAAATCATATTAGTCGCCATCCCTACAGTTCCCTACAGTCCCCATTTCACAGAAACTGGACATCAGTGCCATCTAATGAGTAGTAATAGACATTTTTGGATATCAATTTTGAAAAAAGTATATTATGTTCTAGCTCTTAAGTCACTAATCATTGTTATATTTGTCGACGATATATCTAAACTATTTAAATTGCGATCTCCAATTGGCCTGACAAGGGAGGAGTAAGAGTCTGACACTCCCTCTCGCCTAACCCAAGGCGGGAGAACTCATTGATTGATCCCCCCCCCTCCCAAAAGGGAACAAATAATAGCAAATCTTACGAAGAGGAGGCTCACAGTCCAGTAGTGGATGTTATAATTATGACATGATTAAAAAAAAATTCTACTTGAACTACTCGACCAATTTCAAGCCACGCCGGGGTCTATAATCACGGGTAACAAAGAAAAATAAAACATTATCTAGTGAATCAAGATGTTAGGAACTTACCAGCATAGTCATTAGCTATGGCCCAGTGTGACACACACATGAACACTCCCCATAGTATTGGTGATACTGCTGCGAACACTGCAGCGGGGAAGTGTTCGTACTGGTACCCTTCTAGCCCCCACTTGTATGGGGTCGCGATGGTAGCCGTCATCAGCACCAAACAGAACGTCCATAGGAGTCTTGTTTGATTCTGAAAAATTAAAATTCAAGTTTGAAATGTTTGTCATGCATATAGTTAGCTATTTTTTGGGCAGAAACAGAGAATTGTCTAGAGTCTTTTTTTTAAGGGGGGAAAATCATCGAATGACTGCTCCCGCCTGGGTGAGGCGGGAGGGAGTGTCAGACTCTTACTGACTAAAAACTACCCCGTTTCTTTTCCTGCACATCGAGCCGGAGCCCTGGTTACCCGTAAGGTTCTCCGCGACATTGTCTAGTGTCTAGGATGATATTTAGTAAAGTAAGATAATATCACGCCTTTTATCCCCAAAGGGGTAGGCAGAGGTGCATATTACAGCACTTAATGCCACTGTACGATGTAACACCCACTTTTCACTATTTAGGTATGTTATAAGTCCGATGTAATAGGGGGTCAACCTATTGCGATATACCGGGCACAATTCCAGACTCCGTGCTACTACTGAGATTTTTTTAAACCCAGTAATACTTTGTCCGAACAGTCGCACTTGCGACCACTCTGCCTACGAGGAAATTTAGTAAAGTAATATAACAATTATGTTCGCCGTATGATTTCGATTTTTTCTTTCTATTTCTAAATCAGGATTGCAATCCAGATTTCTCGTGTTTACAGTAGAATATAATACATAGCTAACATTTTTTAAAGATAATAAAATTATAACTATGACGCTTATTGGAACTTAAACACCTATCAACGTGATTTAAGACGCAATTGTTAGTATTTATCGCTACCTTATATAATAGATTAATACTAGTACTTACACTGGTGAGTGTGAAGTTCAATTTCTTTGTTTTCATAAGGTACGCCATCACGACTCCTATCAAGTAGATGGTAGCTCTGTGTGTCGGCAGAATGTATGAATAACGAGCTGCATCTAGTAGTTTTTGTACTCTGAAATAAAGAAAACAAGTTTTATAAAACAAATGACTATAATATAAACATTTCCTTACACTTCAAATCACTCGGACTGGGACGGGTTAATCCGTGAATGAATGATTAATTTATGTTGACCAGTGAGGCGTTTGCCACGCAATGTTGTTCGTAATTGTGAGCCCCTATCATGCCTTGAAACTCTTCGAGTTACGCCAAACAGTTACACAAGAAAGCCGTATAGCATTAAAAATTTACCTAGCATGAATCACGAAAGTTTTGATATTAACTCGTCGAGTACCGTATTTATAGACACAATCAAAGAACAATAGGTTGCGGTCACCGGTGACCGCTTGGTGTTTGACAGTTTAAAATATAATTATAAAATGATTTCATTACAATCTTGTTTCTTTTTTTAAACGTTGCCCTACATTGTGATTTTCTCCTGTGCCGTGGCACACATACAAGTTCACATACACATGACACTCAGACCCGGAACATCTTTGGATCACACAAAATGCTGTTCCGTTCGGGAATTAAACCGGGACACATTGTGCTTCAGCCGTGTAGTCGTATCTTAAGTAACTACCTTTATTTATGTCTTATATTGACGTGAAATTTACTATTAAATCCTAGCGCCTACCATATAGTGAAAAGCAATGTTGCAGTAATATTGTTTGCTCTTGCAATACGTCATCTTTGATGTACGACTTGTGGTCTCAGCCTCGAATAGGAACACTATATAATATATCAGTCGCCGGGACAACGGCACTATATGTACACTTAATATATCATATAGGTGTGAAATACTGTGAGATTGGAAAGGTATATAACCAGTCAGTGGGTCCTAAGGAAGTCCTAGAAAAGATCAATGAACATGGGAATCGAAAAACGCTTAGCGTGTGATGTTTTAAACGGAGCGTGAAAGCATATTTTTAGTGCTTGCTAAAAGAGCATGCTACTCTTTCTGACTCTATATTAAACAGAGATGGAGCAGTAGCGCTCTCTGAAAAACCTGATCCTTATTGAACTTTTAAAAGTGTGATGTCCAACTGGCTTAGTAAACGTGGATTACTTTCAGTCAAGTCAAGTCATATTCATTTATTACTAGACCAGAAATGCACCTTTGACCAGTGAAGCTATTTGCTCCTTCCATGTATAGATTCCTATGGAGAGGAGAACTAGCAATAAACTCCATATTCTTTTTACAATATAGTAGGTAAGTATATCAAACCTGGTTTGGACATATAGAAAGGATGGATGCAAGTAGAGTAACGAAAGAAGTATACAGAGCGGATATGAATAGGGTCGTCGGTAGAGGGTGCCCTAGACGGACATATAGTGACCAGATTGGCGATATATTAAAGAAGGTTCAAATTAAAAGTACCCACCCTTAACCGACGACCATGAAAATATTGATGACTGTTGATGAAGTGAAAGAGGTATGTAGGAATCGTATTAATTGGCGTTCCAGATTCTCTGCCTACCCGCATGGGAGACAGGCGTGAAGTTATGTATGTATGTATATCAAACCAGTCAATTTAGAGTACCAGTCAATTTCATTTTAGAGAAATATAGTCCAGAAGTGATCCATTAAAGGAATTATTCTACATTTCTAATGAAAAACATTTTCATCTAAATACTGAAAAGTTACTCAATTTTAAGTCATGCCTAAATATCATGCCATCTCTGTCATTTAACAAACAATTTGTGGAGACAGAACTATACTTAAGCGCGACTTAAAATTGAGTAGCGTTTGAGTATTCGAACATAAGAGTTCTTTATCTACCAAGATAAATAATGAGGAAGTAAGTTACATACTTATAAACATTATCTAATATGTATTTAAAGGATTATGACCAGCTAAGTGACATAACAGCTTCGAGAACATAAGTGTCATTATTCAGTATTCAGCATAACTTTTCAAGTAACTTCAGCATAAGTATACAACTGTAAAGTAATGCTTATTTTAAGTTAATGGATAGCCATGTAAACGCTTTTAAAGATAAGTACACTTGTTAATCTTGTTACGTTATGTTAAACATAGTGAAGTGGATAAGATATGGTCAAAGACTGACTAAAAGACTGTCTCGTTGGCTGAGTGGTTGCGACTGCCGGGCAAGGGGTCTCGGTTTCGATTCCCGGGTCGAGTAAAGTTACTGGGTTTTTTTAAGAAATTTTCAGCAGTAGCACGGAGTCTGGTAATGTGCATGGTATATGGCAATATGTTTACCCCGTATTACATAATATAAATAGTGAAAAGTGGGTGTTACATTGTGCAGTAGCATTAAGTGCTGTAATGTGCACCTCTGCCTACCCCTTCAACTACCTTGTTATGCTATGGTATGTCGCGGAGAACCTAACGGGTTACCGGGGCTCCGGCTCGACGTGCAGGCGAAGGAACGGGGTGGTGTTTAGTCAGTAAGAGTCTGACACTCCCTCCGGCCTCACCCAGGCGGGAGCAGTCATTCGATGATTTTCCCCCCATAAAAAAAATGGTATGTTGTGACATGGTCAAGGAATGGTCCGGTTCTGGAAAATTCTAAACGCATTAAACATTTTTCGACGGCTTCGTTGGTCAAGTGAGCGGTAATGAGACTGACCAGCAAATAGGGTTTTGATTTCGATTATACCGTTCGCGATTTTAAAGAAACCTGTTAACAATTACACACGGTCGGTGCGTTGGCTGGCCGCGCAACGAGTCGCGGGTTCGATTCCCGCACGGAGCAATTCTTTGTACGATCCACAAATTGTTGTTCCAGGTCTGAGTGACAAAATGTTTGTAAACGCACCCACGATACAGGCGAAAATCCTAGTGCGGGGCAACATTTTTTAAGAAAAAAAGAAATTGTTCGGCAGTAAGACTTGGTAGTGTACCATTCACAATTCATGTTTTAGTGGTAGAAAGAATGTCGTGTTCCAAATCGAATATTTATATCAATCTATTTCAATGACGCCTGTAACAGTATAAATACACAAAAAAGACGTAGTCTGTTTGTTTAACCATCTGTAAGAGTGGTAATAAAATTAGTATCTACAGATTACTTCCAGAAATCTGATACATAATGTACACATTTCGGCATCTATGGTCTATTTACAATGAACTGCAATGGTTTGTGGCAATTTTTAAAACAAATATTTAATCTGTAACACACCTTTAAGTTTATAATTTAGCAATACAAGACGTCATATTGTTTTATTTGATGACGATATGTGTAATATTATTCTTTGTTGTTAAATCAAACGAAACTGTTGGAGACTTTTAGCTTCGATCCATAGGCGTTAGCTTAAGGGCTCGTACACAAAACTGAGATGCGACGTCACATCGCAAGAACTTGCGAATTGAATCGCATCAAAATCTTATCTTGCCAAAATCTTCTTTGTTTCTTTTTACAATCCATATCCCGACCTAGTTTTCAATTTAAAATAGTACGGTACGGTACGGTACGGTACGTTTAGTACGGTTGACGATCGTCGAAGGAATGGTCACCCTGGGAGACGCCTTGTCGCACGAAATCGCATTGCAGCAATTCGTGTCGTAATTTTTGCTTCGCAGTTTTGTGTACGAGCCCTTAGTGTCAACTAAGTATTACTTTTTCACAATTGTCATTAACCGAGGTAACCGAAGTACGATTAACACCATTATTTTAGTGAGTTAGATGCATTGTTTATTATCATATTTGTAGCAAGAAGACTGTCCGGTGGTTGGATACGTAGATCTAGTACTTCAACTTAGAATTTCTCTGTAGACGTAAATAGTATAGACTCGAAATTATACCCGTAACAAAAGTACTAATAAAAAATTAGACTAATGATATAATTAATAACAAAAAGATGATACATAACATATAACCATTCCAACGGTTTTGTGGTGCTTAGATTATAAGATATTTGTGTGACATAAAGATACATGTGTGACATAAAGATAAATAAAAAAAAAAATTAAATATACTCTTCAATTTGAATTTACTTCCCCGAAAGACTTCAAAGAAACAAGAGCGTGGGTACCGAGCCTCGTATCCTTTACACCTAGTTCTGACTAATATTTTACATCGTGGAAAACTAATACATTTTTTTAGATAAAGTCAATATAGTACGTAATACTTTGATAAGTAAAAATAAACAGAGATAGGTTTTTACACTTTTATAAATGGCTACTTACTTCAGGCTTGAACTCGATATAATCAAATACCTAAGTTTATATTCATTGTTCCATGACCACATTGTTAACAATATTCTATTTAAGTTTAATTTTTTAGGCTCTGGTTATCAATTCAGGAAGTGCGCCGTACATTTTAAGAGTATTGTTTAAATGATAGAAAAAAATCATAAGGTTCGTCAGAAAATTAAACGGGGTGAAATCGGTGGTGAGTACTTTTATAAAAATTATGACAATACCATTCGATCATCTAACAATAAAATATAATTATGCCCTTCGGCACTTCCTATTCAAGTGTGAAGGTTCTATTGCAGGAAATGGTTAAATTATTATTTGTTAACAAAAATGCAAGCTCATTGTAAATTTATCAATTATTTTACTTAATAACACTTTGTTTTGTATTAAGATTGAGTATAAAAACTCGTCCGTCCAATAATATTAATTTTTTTTTGAAGTGTGAATACTTTTAAGGCCAAATTTTTTTTAAGCATTAATAAACACAAATTTACAACAGTTTTTCGAAAGGATAGCCAGAGGAGCACAGTGTAGTTAATGTAGAAATCGCATTTTCTTAGTTATATTTCTTTTATGGGATAAGCTGGGAATCCCGTAGTCGGATCATCTAATGGCAAGGCGTTACCCATGGACACCTGGAACACCAGAGGCGTTACCGGCCTTTTGAGGATTATTTTGGGGGTTAAGGGATTGGGGAGATTGGGAGGGAAGTGGGGGAGGGGGGTCATTGGGCCTCCGACCACCAAACACTACGCAAGCGTTGTTTCAGGTCGGTTTTCTGTGATGCCGTTTTTTAAGTCCGGTCGAGCCGGCCCATTCGTGCTCAAGCATAGCTCTCCTACACTTGAAATTCTAAGAATTAGAACATGCCTAGAAATACATAAATATTGAACATCATTCCAGACTCAAAGTTAGTACTTACTTAATTTTTTTTAATTAATTCGAACTTGCATTTCTATCTATCACTACAAAGACATTCCCATGTTCTATAATTTATCATTCCATCAATACAAAATATTTTATTTTTGGTAGTAAATCTCTGTGATTAGTGGGTATGTTGTGGGTAATTTCAGTAACAGGGATTAGGTTAGCGAAACTATCGGACGATTAACGCCTGCTCTGAAACCGAAGGATTAATATGAGCCATAATTAACGGTGACCTAACACAGGTAATTATCGATCTTTGTGCAGAATTTGAACTAATTAAGCAGACTAAGTTTTGTAGGTGGTAATTATATTTTGGTGCTGATTAATCTATACACAATAATACACATACATACATAACATCACATCTTTTATCCCCGAAGGGGTAGGCAGAGGTGCGCATTACGGCACTTAATGCAACTGCACAATGTAACACCCACATTTTTTACTATTTATGTTATGAGTCCCATGTAATAGGGGGTGAGCCTATTACCATATACCAGGCACATTTCCAGACTCCGTGCTACTACTGAGAATTTTAAAAACCCAGTAATGAAGTATTACCCAACCCGGGAATCGAACCCGAGACCGAGTAATCTATACATACATATAATAAAATCTTAAGAAACTGAATACTGAATATTTTTTTAAAAGAATACTTGGGGCGTGATCTTTGTCTGTTTGTCTGTATGTATTTATGTCGGGGCTAAACTCAAAAACTACTGGATTTATTTAAAATTTTGTATGAATGTTACTAACAGGTCGAATCAACATATAGGCTACATATTATTATGCTATCATCTATGGGGAAAGAGCTGTTATGGCTGTGAATCACTATCCAAAGTATTACTGGTTTTTTTAGGAAAACTCAGTAGTAGCACGTAGTCTGGAATTCTGCTCGGTATATGACAATAGGCTTACCCCCTATTACATGGGACTCATAACATAAATAGTGAAAAGTGGGTGTTACATTGTACAGTGGCATTGAGTGCCGTAATGTGCACCTCTGAGATAAAAGACGTGATGTTATGTTATGTTAAAAATATTAATAATCAAATGCGACTTACGAAATTCCATAGTAGACGAACATGCTGATATCGTACCAATAAATGGCTAAGTATCGGAGTACAGTTGAGGCCACGGCCATCAAAGCCAGGAGGGACCAGCCTAGAGTACTGTACTTCCAGATGACCAGCATCAGGGGTAAGGTGGCCACGTAGAGCTGCATGTCCATGCCGATCTGATGGGTGTGGGTGAGGCACTGCAACGAAGATGGTGTTTGCATTATGTAACGTTAGGTGTTTTATGTCTATCTATATCGATTTGTTCAATGCTCGTCTTACAATAATGGGCGTTACTTTTTTTCTATACATCTTTATCGGTTTTTAGACGGGGAAGTGAGAAAACTTCTGGTCAAATACTCAACTTTAACAAGTCTCAAGAACAATAGAGTAGATGCCTAATTTTTATAATAAAGTCCGCCTGGTAGATTATTTTAAATCATTAGACACGTATTTTTTTATTTTCTCCTATTAAGTTGCAATACTTAGATAGAATGCCGTGAAGTTCAGGAGTGGGAGGTTGTTACGTCATAATGTGCTACAAAATGTGACACGCTGTGACGTCACACGATATTTCAAATTAATATATCTCAGAAAGTATTTAAGTTAGTGAGAAAAAAAAAGATTTAAATTATTGTATCAGACGGACATTAAAATAAAATTTAGGAAACTACCCTATTATAAGTTTGTACTACGGACTAATTAGATTTTTAATTTTGATACCCTTGACACAACCCAATTTAATAGCATTTCAGTATTCGTTAGTATTTCCAACTCATTGCCACTACATACTTTTTATATGCATACTGTGAATGAAACCCGTAACAGGGTGACACAGTTATCTAGTGAACGACTTGTTCAGATTCCCGCGCTTGTTATATAACTATTGTTGCCAACACAATAAACGATAATGAGGTAATATCGATGTCTATCGTACACTAGCTTTCTGTCCGCAGCTTCGCTCGTATTCCTGTAGGATAAAATATCATAATAATCTTATCATATACTATTATATAAAGCGGAAGAGTTTGTTTTTTTGTTGTTTTGTTTGAACGCGCTAATCTCCGTAACTACAAGTCTGATTTGAATAATTCGATTTTGCGTTGGATAGCGCATTTATCGAGGATGGCTATAGGCTATAAAACATCACGCTACGACCAATAGGAGCTGAGCTGAGCGTGTGAAACCGCGCGGAAGTAGATAGTGTAATATATATCTCTGTTCCAAATTTCATCCAGATCCCTTCAGCCCTTTTTACGTGATTTGGTAACAAACATACACACGAACACACAAACTTACACTCGCGTATATTATGTTAGTAAGATACACTTTATAGGCAACACTAATGAGTATATAGTTAGACTACCAACTAGGTACTGTCTCGTTGCAGTTGCATATTCCCAGTAATTGCACGGAGGAGGGCGTTGTGATTGTTTAGTAACACAGTTTGTTCTTTTTTAATGTGGGGCTTTTATAGAACTCGATGAAATTTAGTTTTTAAAGATTAGTATTATTTTCTATGTACCTATAGTATATATACCTATAGTACCTGATAGGATCGTAGTAGGATTTGCAAAAAAAAGTTATTTTACAGACTTTTGCACTGTGGACAACCCAAATTGTTATTTCGAAACGGGGTGTGATGTGTATGTGAATTTGTATATTTGTAAACGCACCCACAACTTAAGACAAAGTCTAACACTATGGCCACAGGTTTTTAGAAGAAAATTATAGTACAACTGCGAAACTCTCCATTCCCGAAGTGCTTTCTGATGTTGCTAGTATATTATATGTCTTTCACTCAGCAATCGATTTATGAATGCCAACATCAGTTGACAGTCATTGACACTCTAGTTAATCAAACATATTAATAAGTGTCTACCTAGAACTTTGTAAGTTTACACCAATAAATTATCGTTTAATAATACCTACATAAATCAATATTATTGAAGTAGGATATTGGAAAGATATTACTTATGTATTTATCATTTTCGGAATGATGTTTGTACATCATCTGCTCTGCATGATTTAATTGATTGCTGTAGAGAATTTTGTATTCGGTAAATTCATAACTTTGTCAGAAAATACATGGATAAGGAATTTAATGTACTAGAACTTTGTTATCTAATACCTCGGAAACGGCAACATCGATTTTCTTTAAATTTTGTATCTGGAGCGATAAATCGATCTGGCTAAGTTTCATTTTCGGAAAAAAGGTTATTTTTCCGTGTTTTCATTGAATAAAAATCCTTAGATTACTTACAAAATTAAAATAGCTTAGTTAGAAAGCGGTCGCCCCTTACTCAGGACATTCGAGTTCAGACTCCGGTCCAAATGTTTTTTTCTGTTTTCTATTTTATCTTTTTTTATTCTGTTTTATATTGTATTTATTTCTATATTTTTCTGTACTTAAAAACACCGGTCATCCAGGTACTTGATGTTTATGACTGGAGCTATTCAATAAAAAAAACAACGTGATCATGTTTATTTTCGATGCACTGTTCCCAAATCGGTAATCATACTTGGGACCTGGGAGTCGCAATTAAGACTACTAGACCAACAAGGTGGTTAAAGTAAACTTAAAAGAAAATGTTTAAGTTAATGAAAATTAATATAAGTTATAACTTTAATAAAACCGTCGCTTTAGCTAAGTACTAAGAAAATATACTAGAAAAATCAATTTACTAAGAAAACACTATAGGTACCTACAGACAGAACGCTGTAGAAATAACCTATTTTTGTAACACAAGGTTTTAGATAGAAGCTAGCACTAAAACTAAATTGAATTTGACTTTAGTTTTTAGGGGCATAAAGTAGATTGTTTAAACGCCGCAACTGAGGCTTTTCAATTTAGTCAGCTATGTAGTCAGTATTAAAATATAGTTTTTATAGATTTCATCTTTAGTGTCATATGAATAAAGTTTAAAATTTGTGTATCCAAATCCCAATACCTAAAGGCCAGCAACGCAATTGTAACTCTTCGCGTTGCAGGTGTTCATGTGCGTTGCCGATTGGTTACTATAAAGTAATACCCCTGGTCGTTTGCCGCGTATTACAAAAATATATATATACCTCTATATATATATCGCAACCACCTAAGAGCAAGCAAAGAGTGGCTAACCTACGTGCTTACAATTTGGAATCATTTGAAAACAACCAACGACTGCCTCGTCGGCCGAGTGGTCGCTTCAATTTCAATTCGGTTCAATTCCCGGGTCGGGCAAAGTATTTCTGGGTTTGTAAAAAAAAATCTCAGAAGTAGCACGGAGCCTGGAAATGTGCCCGGTATATGGCAATAGGCTCACCTCCTTTTACATGGGACTCGTAACATAAATTGTGAAAAGTGGGTGTTACTTCTGTGTGCACCTCTGCCTACCCCTTCGGGGATAAAAGGCGTTATGTTATGTTATGAAAACAAGCTTTACCATCTCTTGATACGTACCATATCCTCAAAGCCGAAGTAATTGTGGATGAATAAGAAGCTCTTCCACATGTTCTTCTCGCAGACCCTGCTGTGCTCCTCCACCACCAGGTTCCACTGGGGACCATTGTTCAGGTCTGGTAGGATGTACGTGCAGAACAGCATCAGACTCACGAACAGAGGGAATAATCTAGAAGGAAAGACGACGGTTAGTTATAAGGTCCTTTTTGTAGGATTTTTTTATGGGGGCAAATCATCGAATGACTGCTCCCGCCTGGGTGAGGCGGGAGGGAGTGTCAGACTCTTACTGACTAAAAACCACCCCGTTCCTTCTCCTGCGCTTCGAGCCGGAGCCCCGATAACCCGTTAGGTTCTCGGCGACTTCGAATCGGCATCAGCACTTATTGGGCCCCATACGTGGTGGTCTGATGGCTCTTTAAGGCGCGTTTTGTGGGAAATAAGGCTTATATTTCATTGGGACACCATGGCGGCGCAGCCAGTCACGCCACCGTGGCGGTCAGACTAGCGGGTGAGTAAGTAACGCACCATACAGCGCTATAATAATAAGTGATGGCGTGATCAGCGTGGATAAACGAGCAGTAAAGGTCTGTGCTGGCGTCCGCACTGATCGCGCCACCAGATTGCAGACACCAGGTGGGTAACTCTATAGAGCTGCATACATTTTGTTGTGTTGCCATAGTGTACCGGGGAAATATAGCCTTAAGAGTGCGCAGGATATCTTACTATGTCTACCTACGACACAAAAATCCTATCAATCAGAAAATAACTTAGGCTTAAGATCAGTGTGACTGTGAATTTCTTGACATTACTGCTCGATACAGTTAGATACATATGTAAGTTTAGGTAGTAAAAGTAATTTAATATTGGTTCCTCAAGAAAGCGATCATACAATGACGTATACGTATATTGATAGAATTCCATGCAGCTATTTTAAACACAAATTATATTAGTACGTGTTAAATGTAACTATTACTCTCAGATAATCGCTTCATAATGACACTAATTGCGGGCACCTGCGCATCCTAGGCCAAATAAAACGTCCACTTATTCTTTAAATGAAGTTTTAAATGTTAATATAATTAAGAGTTCTTTTAATTAGATATAAATGCATAGTGTCATTGCGAAGGTAAATCCCGACTTAATGTTTTATTATTTCGATTATTTATCGACTGTAGATTATTGTTATTCATTGTTATATTGTTATGTCTTAAACTGATGAATTCCCCGATTGATAATGATATTTTAAGTTTCATAACATACCTAAGTACAAAATAAATGTTCTTATCTACACAATGTGCATTACGGAGACCCTTTTTCTCCATCAATTTTCTCGAATCAATAAAACTATTCGCTCACAGTAGGTAGATAACAAAAACAAAGGATGAAGACAGAATATTTTTCAATTCACTACAAATCTAGATTAATGACAAAAAGGGGGGATTTAATGAATGGACCCGTTTCAAACAAAGGATATATATTTTCTGCACTTCAAACAGTAATCAATCTTAAGTTAATGATGATAGCGTCGATAAATGTTTGAATGTCTTACCTAAACCATCTGGCGATAAGTCTGTCTTTAAGGTTGATGGTTCCTTTCCTCTCGAGGTCTGTGAGGAGGTTGCGAGCGTTGAGGAACCCGCTCAGGTAGAGGAAACTGTCTGTGTAGAGGATCGCAGATCGTCCGACCACTGCCCATGGCATACCGAATACCTAGAAAGAAGTCCGAATTAGTTTCTAGTTTTTGATGGTAAAGACAAATGTGTTTGTTTTTAAAATAGCTGTACCTAAATAGGGTAGTTTTCTAAATTTTATTTTAATGTCCATCTTTTATTTTCTCACAAAATAAAATACTGTCCACAATATATAAATTTGAAATATCGTGTGATGTCACAGCGTGCCAAATTTCGTAGCACGTTATGACGTAACAACCTCCTACTCCTAAACTTAGCGCCATTTTATTTAAGTATCGCAACTTAATACGAGAAAATAAAAAAATACGTGTCTAATATTTTTTCATTGACGGACTACTGACGGACTAATTAGATTTTTAATAATTTCAATATTTTTTAATTTTGATACCCTGGAAGCTACCTAATTGGCAACCAACCGGCCTCTATAGAAGTTTTTGGGGGAGGCCTATGTTCAGCAGTGGACGTCCTATGGCTGATATGACGATGATGATGATAAAGCCCCTAAATTTGTAGTGTTTATATTTCAAATCGACTGAACGGTTGGCGCGGTGGCTGGGCAACTGGCTGCCGCGCAACGTGTCGCGGGTTCGATTCCCGCACGGAACAACTCTTTGTGTGATCCACAGATTGTTGTTCCGGGTCTGGGTGTCATGTATATGTGATATTGTATGTTTGTAAACGCACCCACGATACAGGAGAAAATCCTAGTGTGGGGCAACGTTTTTTTTTTTTAAAAAAAAACTATTGCTTAGTGAAATTAGGCATCGATTTTAAGACTATGGGGAAAAATCTATATAATGTTTTCAATATTATTTCAAAACAAGAGACAAAGCGAAATGCTTCTGTCTATACCTATGGTAATTCATTCAGAAGAAACTCAAAAGAACTAAACACCTAGAGGTTCTTCAATAATATAGTCTAGAAATATCTAAGTCTTCTATCATAATAAATCTTCGTCAACAGCCTGACAGCAGCTTCCAACGCCAGTAACTAATCTAGTTCAAGAAAATCATGTCGAAGTAACAAAAATCTTGTTATTTCCCAACAACGACATGACATTAAAACAAACAAATTGGGTAATTACTTCATTAATTAAATACTCTACGAAGTTAATGTTACATTCCTTCTCACTTAAAAACCTTGTAAGTCAATTTTCCTTTAATTTTATTGGCGACGCGGTTTTTCATACAAACTTTTGAGTTTCATTGTAATTAATCAGAAGTTCTGAATTTTAAAACCTTTATTGTAATTAAAGATTGTGAGGGTAATTTACTTTATTTAAAAGATTTATATTTACTCTGAATATATACCAATTATTTTTGAACACTCAGGCGGCTATCGAGCTTTATCTACACCTGCATCACCAGAGGATCATTCATCACAAATGCGTGGGTGCTTGACATTTAAGTCGTAATTCAAGTTGTACAATCAATTGTTTATTGTAGTTTTCTATTGTGATAGCACTTATTTCGATCATTAATCTGTCAAACACCGCGAGGACACCGGTGACCGCAACCAATTGTTTTTTGTTAATTTTACTGTTAATTTTAAAAATTTTAGTCCCAAAAGTTTGTATGAAAAGGCCAGAGACGAAAATGCTTTACAAGCGCCACTTAAAGTTAAAGAAAATCTTATAAATTGTGAAATATTCGAGAAAGTGTTAAGTACTAGAATAAAGTGTTTCAATACACGTCAAAATGATTTGATTGGATTTCCAAATGACTCTGTAGGAACATTGGGATCTAAGTTTCACTTTGAGATTTAATTCGATTGTTAATAACTCAATAAATTCTTGTTGGATTGGGTGGAGAAAATACTTTATGTTTAAAGCTGGTATATATTAAGTTTTAAGCTTAGAGTAATAACATTTTGTTATCTAAAACATTATTTGATGTTTTTTTGAAGGGGATAAAATCACTTCTCTTGCTTTGGGCGAGGCGAGAGGAAATTTCAGATTCTTACTGACTAAGAACCGAGCCGGTGCCCCGGCAACCCGTTAAGTCCTCCCCAGCACTGCATTGGGCATCAGTCCTTTGTTATTTAGTTGAGTAAAGTAGTATCTACGTATTAAGTGCGTTAGTCAGAACATATTTATAGTATGTCTTGTTTATAGGAAATCCACCTCTATCATACCTTACTAGTTATAGGTAACGATTTCATAATTCGTGGCAGAGAATGAGCTAGCAACACAGATGATGTAAATAGAGACTAGAATCTTTTGATCACGGTGATCTTAACAAATAATACTCCTATCTACTTCCTACCACAGTAATAGAGACTATGGTACAATGAATATATTACCCCGTCGAGCGTCTGCGTTCCTTATGCATTTCCTTACCCTTATGCATGCAATAAAATGCATTTATTTGGCCATTGGCACAAGAAAACAAGGATCATTACAATAGAAATAAAACAAATACAGTCAAAATAAAAACAAAACATTAATAATAGACTTTATAAAAGAGAAAGCAGCATGGAGCATTTTTTCTTATGATCCACCGGGTGCTCATAAGGACGCTCGAGGGGTTAATCACAAAAACTTGATACTTACGGCAGAAAAACTGACTTTGTTGACGTAAGGGTTGTGTGCCATTGCCATAGACTTGTGTGCTATAAGCAATGCGAATGCATTCATCCCTCTATACGCATCGACTCCCTTCTCCCTAGTTGGAGAATCAGACAAGTCGAACACTTTCCTCAAATTCCTCTTCAAAGAGAATGCGTTTAGAAGTTTCTCGAAGTTTGTGACTCCTTCTTTTCCATCGTCTAGCATTGTGCCTAGACTCAGAAGTAGGAGTATGGCTAGGAAGAATGTTCTGGAAAGAAGAGAAGATAACAGTTAGAACGAGAAAAAATAAGAGCAACACGTTACAATTGTAAATGCCTAAAAGGTAAAACTGGGAAGTAGATAAGTGCAAGTGCTGATAGGACCCGCCATCTTTACTTCACTTTTGGGTATCGGGGATCACAGTTAGTTCATGTTGATCAGAGAGCGATGCTGCACGGACTGTCAAATCTGTAGTTTCTAATTGACCGTTACGAAACCCATTGGAAGACTAGGGGTGGTATTCTACTCTGTCGCCATTAGACGGCTTTTAGATCTTTATGGTGTCTGAACTAGCTATGTATGACCAATGGTACAATTGGCAAGAATTTAGTATCTACATTTATACTGATACACTGGACCTGATGTACCTACCTGGAGCTGTAGCCAAATGCCATTTAGCGTTTGTCTACATGTAGAATAGAAAATCAAATTATATGGAATTGACGTAAATTTTGACACTTGTCAGTGTCATCCCCATACATTTTGATTTCTACTCTCTCTGTAGACAATAAATAAACAATGCAAGCGCTAAAGTGGCGTTTGGCTGAAGGCCATGTTTTTCCTTTTATTTTATTTTATTTTAGCCAATTGTCCCCCTGCAGGTCAAAGGCCTCCCTACCTTTCCTTCCGTAATTAAATGAGACGATTAAACATTAATATACTTAAACGATCTTATTCGCACAGAACATCTATCTTCACAAGAACTTAGTTGGCACCACAGTACTGGTTCTGAAGCTGAGATAGTGCCGTGCAAATGTAATCATCTGTTCAATTCCAGTGAATATCTTAGAAACTATTAGGTAGTTGGGATATTGGGTTGTCAGTGGAAACGGTTCGTAACTGGACTGAGACTGGACTGTATATAGTTGGGATGCTATTCGTGCTATTGATTGTATCAGTTTTAATGTTCGTACATATTAAGTACTAGCAGCTCGTCCCGCCTTCGCACGGGGTAGACAATTATTTATTTTTGGAAATTTGGATTGTTGTAGTGACATAACTACAACAGTTGGACATATGCTACCGCGGAGTTTTTTGTAGACATTATAATATTCTTTAATATTGTTGTACATTATTTTGTTCTATTGCTAATAGTTTCGGCAGCGCATTCGACGAAAGACATTTTAAGACTCATTTTTCTACACCTTCGGTTACATTGTTCAAATTTTACCAAGGATCCCTAATTTTTTTCAAAATGAAATGTAGCATATGTTAAATTGGAAGAATGTAGCATTCTATTGGTGAAAGAATTTTTTAAATCGGCCCAGTACTTTTTGAGCCTATTCATTACAAACATACAAAAATAGGTACAAATCTTTCCTCTTTATAATATTAGTATAGATAGAGCTGTAAGATATTATGTCGTGTATACCGCAATGGATTTTTTATTGAGTGACATATACTTAATACTTTTTATGATTAGAAAAGAGTTTACATATTCCATTCTAGGAGACCACACCATAGGTCGTTGCCGTCGGTGATCTAACTTAAAAAGGTTCTCTTCCATTACAGAGCGCAGCTGCCCATCATCATTATCATCATCAACTGCTTATGAGTCGCTACTGCTGAGCAAAGGGCTCCTCTCACGTGAAGAAAGTTTGAGCATTCATCACCACGCTTGCTCAATGCGGGTTGGCGATTTCAAACTTATAATTAGAAATTATAAGCTCAGATTTCCTCTCAATTTTTTCCTTCACCGTTTATCAGTGGCGTTTAAATAATATTTGAAAGAACATATAACTCGGAAAAAGTCACATTGGTACTTGCCGCTGATAGGTTCCGAACGCGCACTCTCATGCTTAGAAGCGGGCGTCTTAAACCTCCGGGCCACTACGACATTTTTTTCGCGCTACTGACCAGCATCTTTTTAATGTATAGTAACCTAGTCATCTATTGCACCACCCGAGAGCAGATCACTATATATATGGCAGAATACATTTATAACACACTAGCTTTTACCCGCGGCTTCGCTCGCGTCACAAAAGGATAAAAAGTAGCCTATGTGACATATACCAATACACACAGCGCCATCTATACCAATACTTTTATTATCCCTCGGGAATATCACATTTTTCCGGGTTAAAAAGTATCCTATTATTTAATCCGGACTTCTAACTTTACGTCTGCTAAAATTCAAAGCAATCGGTTTAGTAGTTACGGCGTGAAAGTGGAACAAACAAACAAACTCACTTTCCGATTTTTAATATTAATAATATTAGTAAGGATAGTAAGGATTACAAAAAAGTTTATTCAAATCACGAACAAATCGCATTCATACGATCTAATTTCTGAACTCGATACTCATATAATTTTCATACAGTGTATTACTAGACATTTATCAATCTTCTATAAGGTCATCTGTACGTCATACATTGGAGATGATTTAAAACTATTAATCATCATTGCTCATAATATTATGTGAATGATTTTTATTGTATGTTGTTGCTTTGATTGTCCTCGGTTCAGTCGATTCCCGGATCGAGCAAAGTATTACTGGGTTTTTTAAATAATTCTCAGTAGTAGCACGGAGCCTGGAATTGTGGTCGGTATATGGCAATAGGCTCACCCCCTATTACATGGGACTCATAACATAAATAGTGAACAGTGGATGTTACATTGTACAGTGTCATTAAGTACCGTAATGTGCACAACTGCCTACACTATCTGGAATAAAAGACGTGACGAGGTTGTTTTGTAAATGGTACTAAATAGGTTTCAACAATAAGTAACTAAATTAGCTCAGTAACATAGAACACAACGTCACGCCTGTTAGTCCCTGAAGGGTTAGGTAGGGGTGCACATCAAAGTAACAACCACTTTTTCCCAAGTAAAATTCCCATGCATTAAGGATGACTGCACTGCCATACAATGGGTTCAATTCTAGACTAATTGTCATTGTTGTACTGTTGACAGATATTTTCAAAAAACTAAAAATCCCAATTATACTTTGTCGAATTTGTGAATCAAATCCAAGACCCTTTTTTTTAAGTGGGGAAAATCATCGAATGACTGCTCCCGCCCGGGTGAGGCGGGAGGGAGTGTCAGACTCTTACTGACTAAAAACCACCCCGTTTCTACTCCTGCACGTCGAGCCGGAGCTCCGGTAACCCGTTACGTTCTCCGCGACAAGACCCTTAGATCAGCAATAATATTTAAGTTTTTAGAATACGAGGCAAAGTTTATTAAACAATAAATTGTACTTTATGTGCAGCATACAATTTTAATGAAGACTAACTTGAGAAACGTGCAAGATATCAACAAGAAGCTTCCGAGTTCAATACATTTTAATGAACAGACGAATTCAAATGACTGCACGAGTGCACGTGTCGTTTACTAATGTCAAATAATTTGTATGCTCCTTATGAGCGTCCGGTATTTTAAGACAATGATGTACTACTGAGACACAGCCAAAACATACTCTGTAAAAACCCTCATACTAAATTAATTTTTCAAAGAATTGTATTAAAAATTCTAGTCACTCGTCAAAATCTGTTTAGATTCTACATTTAGCAAATAAGTTAAAGTCTGAGTAGACGTAATCATGGACGTATTATCTATCTTCTCCTATCTATACATATAATAAATCTGTAGAAAAGTAATTTTGGTACATTGAAGAAATTGACAAAGAAAGCCAGCGTGATAAAGGATAACTAACAGAACTCATTTCCATTATTTTTGACTGTTTTGTCTGTTTGTCTGTTTGTTTCGTCGCGCATCACGTAAAATCTACGAATTCAATGCAGACATTGCTTATATACAAAAATTCTACGCAACTTGAGGAATAACTTAGTTTTTGTTTCATCGAAATCGGTCTATCAGAAGATATGATTAATTTAGTGAGTTCAAGAAGTAAAATTTTACATCACGCAATTCAGTATAGTACTTGCAACGACACCTTAAGACTAAAAATAGAAATAATGTTGATAGTTGAAATCTTTATCCGATAGATGGTGTTGTGCAGCTACGTCATGTTCTGAATGGCGGTGTTAAGATTTTCCACGCGAGAATCACCCTTAACCGTGTTTCCTTTACCGATTGAGATAAGTTTGGTGTCTTTAAATTTCTTGAGTGTGTCTTAAGGTCTGTGGTTGATTGGAAAATTGTCGTTGTAAAAAAAGAAAAAAATAACAGCAACGCTTAGCTATGTAGTAGGCATAACCGAAAGTAGATATTTATAAATCATCATCACAATTTATACTTAGTGTCTATAGCAATAGGTTCATTATTTCTTACAACACAATCTGTACTCACGAACAGAGTAACTATAGCTATTTAATATTAATTAAACATACACACATCTTTTATGACATCATGAAACCATGGCTTAAGGTCATTATGTGCAATTATGCGCATTGACTATGTAAATCATCGTTAATTAATAAGCGGCTCAATCATTGCGCTTCATTACGCTTCGTGTTGAGTAATTACCTCTAAGTTATGGGATTGTTACGAATTGTGGGACTGTAGTACATTCCTTGTGTAAGTTGATCTGTGAATTACTTTTTAATAATACGTAACCACTCCTAATTTTCTCGTGGGTGTCAGAAAACTTAAATAAAAAAAGTATCACTGGGTTTTTGAAAAAAATCCCAGTAGTAGCATTGAGTTTGGAATTGTGCTCGGTATATGGCAATAGGCTCACCCCCTATTACATGGGACTCATAAGATAAATAGTGAAAAGTGGGTGTTTCATTGTACAGTGGCATTAAGTGCTGTAATGCGCCTTCGGGCGTTCGGGGATAAAAGGCGTATTGTTATGTTTAATTACTTACATAGAAAGTGTCTTCCCAAATGAGTACGGCCGTTTAAAGCTCTTCACAGAACACATATTGTTGTGGACTTTAACTGAAATCCCAAGGTCTGCTACCCTCTGGGACAGTTCTTCTTCCAGGTCGAAACTGCTGCACGAGCTGGGAATACAGACTCCCCAGAGCAGACTGGAGTACCTGGGCACGCGATGACCCATCTGCAACAAAGGATTGTTTGGTTAGATAATGTCAGTCGGTGAAGACTTTATAAATTCGTTAATGAACCTACAGTAAGTACATAAGACTCCTTTTAAGAGATGAGTTGCAAAATACATATCTGTGTATGTTATTTTCTGGTTTGAAGCTAGTACATTTATTTTTTTCCTGCATAAAAACTGAGGTAGGTTTTTTTTTTTATAAATAAACTTCTTCCGCAGACATAGGCGTCCGCGCTCTTTTTTAATATTTTTAATAAATTGTTTACATTGTGTTGTCTTAAATTTAATTACAGTAAAGGATATCCCCTCGGACTAAGAGGGCCTAATTATAACTTATAACTGAGCTAGGTTAGGTAAGGTTAGGTTGAATGCGGGTTTTTCGACCCATCGTGACTTAACGGCGCGGCGTAAAGACTGAGCTAAGCTAATGTAGGTTAGGTTGAATGCGAGACTGCGAATGAATTTGGACTCCCGCGGCCCCGCGAGCACGTGCGAGGAGACACTGGGGTGGTTTTAGCCGGTAAGAGTCCGGCACAGCCCTTCGCCTTTCCCCAGGCGAAGGCAGTCCATGAGGATTTCCCCCCATTAAAAAAAGGTTAGGTTGAATGTTTTACTCTATCTAGCATCCACACCTTCGGGAAATTAAATCCATATTAAGTCGTTTAAAAAATGACTAAAAAAAACAAACACACATATATTATGTACAACATTTTATGTATTTGGCGCCTGCTTACAATATGTTAACTGTAATTTAATTATACCAAACCTTGAAATTAAAAAAAATGAATGGAAATGTCTTAAAGATAAAGATCTAGTTGATTTCTTAAAACCGTTTTAACTAGATGATTAATGGAAGTTGCATTGTACTCACTTAATACTTCATATTCAGTTTAAAAGTGTAATAAAAAAAAAACAATCAGCCATTTTTAAAAGCGAAAATGAAATAAAACAAAATTGAAAAGGCATTCATAAATCTCTGTAAATTGCAAAATTGGCTTTAACGTTTTGGAAACTGCAATTAGTAACTCTTTGTGTTGTTTTACGAGTAAAAGGTCTGTTTGTATTCGCTGTTATAGTTTTGATTGATGTCATTACAAGGAGACTGGTGGAACAATGTGACAAGTATATTAACGTTTTATAATAATACATATGATACATGATATCGTCTGAAGAGGAAAGCAAAAATACCTTTTTAACCAATTAAAAAAAAAGTAGTTCTTTTTTTTCTCAGGTTGACATGTATTTATGTATGTATGTTTGTGTGCAATTCTCTCACCATAGGCTGAACCAATTTGATGAGATTTTCCGAAAAGTGTTTGTTTGCACTTAAATGGTTTTAGCGTTCAAAAAAAGAAGGCTTGAAGTCGGTTTTATAAACGTAGTTTATAAAAGAATATCTATTATTTAAACATACATCAAATATATTTTATTTTAGCTAGCCTTCTACTTGCTCCTTGGTAAGTTTATAGCTAAATACAAATTAAAACTTTGTGCTTCTAATTTAGTCCAGTGCGAGATTCTCTAGAGTTGAGAGATCAAAATAAATCCAGCTAAAAACCTTGTCTTCGGTTCCCTACAGAATTAAGATAACTCAAATTAATCGATCTTGGTCAAAGGTTAAGCATTGCCATCCAACGTGGCAATGCTGCCAGTCTTTTGGGCACCTTACCTTATATGAGGATAACATTTTTGCCTAAAAATCACGGGTTACTCATCACTGAGGGGTTCTTCCTCATAAGCAGCGTGCGCGGTCGCAGCGATGTCGCGCAGCCTACTATATACTACTATGTAGTTCGAAAGTAGTAGAACTTTTCTCAGTATATTCACGTGAGTAACCCGCGATTTTTAGTTAATTTAGTATGTCTCACGATAGTTATTATAAAAACATAATATTTTTGATGTGTTAAGTTCGTTTTTCTCGTTATTTTCCCTATCGTATTTCTTAAATTAAGTGACAATAATTTTACCCCTTAACATTAAAAATAATAAGTTAGAGGGGTTAATAAATAAACTATTAACACATAACATAATAATCATCTAGATCACGAACGCGAAACAAGCCAAGGTTTACAACTAGTTAATATTCTGAGAGTCCACCCGCCTACTGTGTATGCTTCACTTGATTTCAAATCACAATTGTGTTGGCTAACACAATAGCCCTTGACCAAGACAGACTTTGCTGAAATTGTACCAAAGAATTTGTATGAATATCAACCCTTTTTTAATACAATGGTCACCAGCTTTTGGTTAAGGTATTGTTCGTTGGATGTAGCTATCTGATGTCTAGGTATTATTTTAATACATATGTGCTTTAAAGTATAGCCATTGTTTACAGATTATAATTTGAATAGCCATATTTATAAAAGTACTAACTGCCTCATTGGCCGAGTGGTCGCAAGTGCGACTGCCGGGCAAGGGGTCTTGGGTTCAATTCCCGGGTCGGGCAAAGTATTACTGAGTTAAAAAAAAATTACAGTAGTAGCACGGAGTTTGGAAACGTGCCCAGTATATTACCATATTACCATATACTGGGCACGTTTGGGAGAGTCATGCTTCGGCACGAATGGGCCGGCTCAACCGGAGTGGTACCACGGCCTCACAGAAAACCGACGTGAAGCAACGCTTGCGTTGTGTTTCGTCGTCTGAGTGAGGTTACCGGAGGCCCAATTACCCTCCCTTTCCCCAATCTCCCCAATCCCTGAATCCTCAACGATAGTCAAACTCCTAATCCCCAAAAGGCCGGTAATGCACTTGTAACGCCTCTGGTGTTCCAGGCGTCCATGGGCGACGCCGATTGCTTACTATCAGGTGACCCGTCTGCTAGGTTACCGGCTTATGCCATTAAAAAAAATAAACACATACGATTCATAAAAAATATACTTTTACTTATTTATGCGACGTGGTACTCAAGTTTTTTGTTACATACATACCTACAGACATACGTACTTCATTATATTCAGCTTTTGAATAATATCTTCTAAGCCCGACAATGATCTATGAATGGGAAATTAGATTCGTGATACGAATCCGTAATCACTTGTACCTTTATATTTTTTTTGTTAAAGTGAAATATTACTTTATGTGACAAAATATTATGAGTTGGTTGGAGATGACACGTGGAGATATACCTACATATATTTAGGTAAATAATATAAAACCGTTATGGTTTAAGGGGTACCCTAAAGGGATTCAAGATTTTTAAGAACGGTGGACTATTTAAAAATTTAAATCCTTAACTAAAATCGCGGGTTACTCACGTGAATATACTGAGAAAAGCTCTACTAGTTTCGAATCAGAGAGGTTCTTCCTCATGAGCAGCGTGCGCGGTCGCAGCGACGTCGCGCAGGTCACAACTCACTCACTTTAGTATGTCTCACGATAGTTATTATAATAAAAACCAATGTAAATCCTATGTCTGTATGTTTGTAAGTAATATGCCGTGGTGACTCGGAGATTTAAGTCACCCGCTTCTTATAAATGAGGGTGCGGGTTCGAAACCTACAAATGGCAAGTACCAATGTCACTTTTACCGAGGTTTATGTACTTTCTGAGATTATCTAGACACCACTGACAAACGGTAAAACATCGTCAGGAAACCTTGTCTTATAATTTCTGAATATAAGTTTGAAATTAATCCGCATTGAGCAAGCGTGGTGATTAATGCTCCTTCTCCGTGTGAGAAGATGCCTTTGCTCAACAGTGGCAACTTATAGGCTGTTGATGATTAAATAATATTTCACTTTTACACGCTTAAGGTTTTTAAATATATTTCAAAAAAATAAAAATATTTGTAATATCTGATACTACAAAGTACATAACATTACGCCTTTTAATCCGCACAGGGGTAGGCAGAGATGTACGTACAATACGTACGTATATATACGTATGTAGCACTCAATTATCTTATAGGACTAATATAATAGGAAGGTAATTGTCACCGACCGGGCACCAACTCATCTAATAATACTAATAATTGTTATTAAGTGGAAATATGGTCTAAGTAAGCAAAATACGTATAGAGGTAATATTACTATGACCTAGCATTCTGGTGACTAGAGATAGATCAAAACAATGCCTAACCTAGGCAACCTAAGATAAATTATAAACACATTACTTAGACACAGTCCCAACATTTATCCTAGTGTTAAAACCATCAGTCGTTCGCTGGTGAAACTTAAAATTAATTATCGTATAGTAAAATTAATGCTATTTACTACACATGGGAGCTATAAATCAAACTGGATCGAGATATAATTCCGACCTTGAGCTTGACATGTACTGTGAAATATGTCATTGTATCGTTAAGGCGTTGTGTCGACTGAATAGCAAATTGTAGTATCGAATAGTTTATTGTTTGACATGTTTTAAAAAACTAACATTGACGTTAGTTTGCGCGGTGTCGCGGGTTCGATTCCCGCACGGAACAACTCTGTGTGATTCACAGGTTGTTGTTCAGGGTCTGGGTGTCATGTGTATGCGAACTTGTATGTTTGTGAACCCACGACACAGTAGGAAACCCTAGTATGGGGCAATGATTTATATAAAAAAAAGAAAGATAATAAAAACTTAAGTTAAACTTTAATGTTAAGGAATTTTGGTAATCTAAATGCGGTTTTTATTCTTCTCCTCTTAAAATATCTTCTGATTCACTTCGTTGCGGGAACCAAGACAGTCATTCATGTCCCTGGGATGCGCTGTACTTCAGTGTTTCGGTGTTTTCAGGGTTCTTTCTATTTTATCTACTGTAGATCCTGGCTTACAGGAGTTGCAGCGGTTTTGGGAGGTTGTGACGGGCTTGTCCCATTAAAAAAAAGCTAAATACGTACAAACCGCTGGACCATGCAGGTTGGTTCCCGCAACGAAGTGAATCAGAAGATATTTTAAGAGGAGAAGAAAAAAAACCGCATTTAGATAACCAAAATTCCTTAACATATAAGTTTAACTTAAATTTTCTTTCTTTCAGGTTGCTTCCTACCGGCTAAATGTAGAAGTCACTGGGG